TAATTGCATAGTTTTATGATGTGTAGCCTATCATACATCAGGCTTAGATGTGAACAACCATCCATTAACGAGCCTAATGTACGTTTTATTTCTAAACTAAAGTAATAATCTCAGATTAAAGATCAGGGTCGGGTGAATTCTGGAACCTCTCTGGCTGGTTCTCTAAAATGAACTGACTCATTTAGATCTAAATTCTCCTGATAAATAATAAAATATAAATGTACTCTGTCTGAAAAACACACGTCGCACGAGCACCCTTTACTGGCAGAAATACCAGAAATCTCAATATTTAGGTCACTTCTAAACTTTTCACACAGCTCTCCTAGCCAGCTTTGCACAGCAGTGTCTCAAGTCTACTTAGTACTTATTCTTCATAACTCTAGCAAAGATTGTCCTCCAACACAATCTCCACGTAGTCACTCATGAAACAATGACCTAAAAACTCTAACAACAGGTAGCATTACACGAGTTTTCTTTTGTAAAATGTCTTTACAAAATAAGAGCTAGGCCTACTCTCTGTTTGTAATTCAATGCAGTAGGCTAGCCATGTTACATAATTCATATTTACATTACAGTACAAAATCATTCCTATTCCCCAGGTGTTTAGCTACATCTTATTGTTTTGATAGTATTTTAGATTTGGAATATATACTGTAGAAATGTAGCAAGAAATTTCAGTATTATTATGTTAGGTTCTGAACTAAAGTTTAAGAGTTTTGAAAATATTATGTAAACATGTAATTTGACGAGTACTATTTTGGTGTCTGAGAGAGGGAAAAAAAGTCATTTGTAATTTCAAAGAGGTAGTCATTGAATGTAATATTGTGCCAAAGCAATGATAATGATCCTCAGTTTAGTCACATAGACTGCTGTTGATCACTGTGTGAAAAGAGTTTTGCAAAAGTGACCAAAGTATTGAGAAATTGGTTCTAGCGATTGTTAAAAAAAAAGTAAGCACTGTTATCTTGGTTGAATTGTATGAATATTATTCATGCAATGCATTTAAGTTGTCCGATTTAGATTTCTCACAGTAAAAATAAAATCACAATCTGATACACAAGGCAAATTGAATCAGTTGACTGGTTTCATGAATCACAATAGATTCATCCAACTCGAGTGGTTGACATGAAAACAGATCTGAGGAACATCTGCGGCACTGACAAACTATTATCATAACTTTATGCAACCACACAAAATCTGCTTAAAAACAAGATGATTTCATTTTTATTTTATTTTACCAAATTGTTTGTCAAAATATAAGGTATAAACATATCATTTATGATCTTAAATTCTATACATAGGCCTATTTTAACTAGTAGCAGTTGTAAAACAAGTATTTCACTGCTAAATTGCACAGATCACATTCAGTTTTCCTGAGCAATTTGATCTTTTCTCAGTGTGTATTTGTGTGTCAGAGTTGATACTATGAAAAGAATCGCCCCTCTCTCTCTCTCTCTCTCTCTCTGTCTCTCTCTCTCTCTCTCTCTCTCTAGAATAAGCTGTAGCTTATTCTTTTTGGGAAAAGAATCGCCCCTCTCTAAATATAACATAATTTTTTGGTAAAAGAATAAGCTGTTACTCATTTAATCTGAAGTATATTTATCCATTGCTCACTTAGATGCAATGATTTTTCTCATGAGCCTGTAGATGATTTGGTGAATCTCCTCCCACTTGAAGAGCGCTGGTATGTAGGGCTGGGTTTTGACACAAATTTCACGATTCGATTTGATTCAAAGGCACAATATGTAAGTTTTCACCGCTAGAGGGCGATTCAAAACAAACAAAGAAACACAGGCGTAGTTTGATGACGCCGTGACTGAGTGTGGAATCATGGGAGTTGTCGTCTTCATCCCCATCTTCGAAACATTTGGGATAATGCAAGTACACAAGTCAGCAAAATACATAACACTGTTCTAGTGGTTTCTGGATATTACATATTGTGCCTTTAATGAAGTTTTTTAAAATAATAACTTTACAATTACATAATATTTCTACTTCAATTCGTTTTTTTTTTTTTTTTTAATATAAACAATGGTGGCTGTCATAAAAACTTGATGGATTTATTCAAACATAAATTAAACATTGAAGGCGTGTGACGGAAATGTTACGCCCCTCACCATACTGTGATTTTAAGTCATCAAAACCAAAGCTGACAGGTGGCGGGTGCTGAGCACATATCGCAAGCTATCGCAAGCCGTTTTAGTATC